AAGTTTTATATTCTTGCAATAAAGCAAATACTGCAACAGGACATGGAAGTTATAAAAACAATCAATAAGTGGATGCAAGAGCAAAAGGAATTAACACTAATTCAACTAGTGATAAGCAAAGCAAGACTAAGCCCAAAATTATCCCTGTATTCGGTATTCGTCTTCGATTTGCTTGGTCTCTTGCAGGGATGTTACGGAGCTTCGACTCCGGTTCCGTTAAGTCGGAACTTCCGATTATTATTACACCTTCGGTTCCGACTTCGGCTCCGACACTTTTAAATCGAAGGTTTTAATCGGAGGTCGAAGCATAACATAGCGGCGGCGCGGCGGCCTGTGTCGACTGTTATGAACAGGTTCATAGTATGAACTTCATACATGTCGCGCGGGGAATCCCCCCGACTTCCACTACGTGCACTGAGCACTCTATCGTCAATTATTTTTTCATTGTTCGTGTTTTATTTTATAATTAAAATTGAAATGAAAAAAATTTGACTAAATAATGTTTTATTTGTCCTTCTCTCTCATGCCACCACTTCTGACCCTGCCTCCGACTCTGATTCCGACTCCGATAAAGCAAATTTAAAAACTCCGACTCCGCCTTCGGTTCCGATAAAACTACCTCCGTTACATCCCTGGTTTGAATGACCGGTAAGTCAAAAACTCACGATTATAGGGTGCTGTGACATTGAGATTTTTTATCAGGTTGACTCAAAGTTTCGTTATAATCCGTGATTGGAAATTGCTTTTATGGATGAGGCTCATTTTTTGATCGTGAGAGAGAAAATGTTGGAGTTTGCCGTTGGTGAGGCGGTTGTTCCGAAAATTTGATGCTTAAGTACTTGCGATTAGTTAGCTTAAGCCGTATATTCTATATGTATAACAAGTGAATTCAGGTTTAGGATTGGTTCGTGTAGACCATGTTAATGACGTAAATGCAATCTCTCAATAATTTCAGCAAAACGGAATCTTCCACAAAATTTCGGCATAATCTGAGGACTCCGGTTTTTGAAACATTACACAGTCTGTATCTAATTAATTAGAAAATATGGGGAAAATAAGCAATTTGTGAAAAGTTTAACAAAAACAAATATTTTTGAAGACCCTGTCTGTTTACATATAGGCATATTATTCATTGCATATTAAGTACCCTATCCGATTGTTTTACGTGTAATTTCTGTAGTCTTATTTCTTTTTTTTAATTTGCATCTGATTGTCGCAAAAAGGGCCAATTAAAACATACGTTTCAAACGGAGGAAATTATAAACGTTGTGTACATAGACATACAAATGTATCATTAAGGGCGATATGCTTAGGATTGTCAGAGTAATCAAGTACCCTTGAATATATTTGCTGCTAAATTTGCTACCATGTTATGAATTCCATCAATATCTAAGCTTACAGTAGACAAGTACCTATTTGCATACTATATATATATGTATATCATATATATATATATCATACGTATGTATTACATTCTATGTACTGTATATCACAGAAAAATACAGAGCAAAGGAAGCCAGGCAATATTAATAAGTTAAGTTAGTATAGGTATTTGTTTCTATTAATTAATAAATTAAATTGTAAACTTTAAAGAGAACGTGTTCTTGTGTACTTCTGATTAACTGCTATTTGTATTGACAACAAATTAAACACGTTTACAATTAACTTGCAATTTTCTAAACTACTTTTCAACAAAAATACATCGAACAGTTTACGGCTTAAACGGCTTTCGAATAGAGAGAAACTATATACGATAGACATAAAACCTTTAATAAATATTAAATATTTTTAAATTTTCGTATAGTACGTTTAGGCCAGTTTAAAGGTTTACCTTATACTCTTAAAACATTCCTAAGAGAGCCTTTATATGGAAATATAACGAAGGACCGTGCCAGGTTGTCATGAGAGGAATACCTTCAAAACGCTATCCGAGATAAATTTAGTAAGATTAATCTTCACCGGAGGGTACTTAAGCCCATGAAATTAAATTTGACGGAGATAGAGACGTAGAAGTCAAACTCTTAACGTTGACATTTTGGCTTTTATTAGGAAATGTTAAGAGACTTCTATCGGTTTTAGGTGCACGAAATACATTTTGATATACTTTGGTACGTATATTGTTCACTGCCATCTTATATTGTTACATTGTTACGAAAGTTAATCAAATTATTGTTGCCACTGTAGCCATTACCAATTGTATGCACTGATTGAATATTTTATGGCGTAATAGAAAAGACTCTAGCTGGGCGATTCCATTTTGGTTGTCTTGCTTGCGCATGTGTATTGTCACTACTATCTATTGGCCGTGTTCGTTACGGTAATTTTCCATTCAAAGTGATGTGATCGCGCATGCGCAATAACTTTTTCATGGAATAAGCATGCTCAAAATTAATAAATTTTGTTGTGGCGTCAATAATAATAACTTTTTTTAGTTTTAAGCATGCGCGAGTACATCACTTTGAGTAGAAAATCTCAGTAACGAACACGACCATTATGGTCATAGAAACACCGCTTTGGCAATACCACAGTCACAGCCATCTTTATCTAACAAGCCGTGAGGTAGGAAATCTGGCAACATAGCGAGCGAGTCTACTAGGAGTTACGAGAAGGATGCATATACTTCAAGACTTCCGCGAACTTATTCATATATTTACATGTGCTGTGTGAAAATCTAATGTTTTTTTTTCTGTTAAAAGCTGTTTATATTGTTGACTTGTGCTAATTTAAACATTAAGTGAATAAGTCACTTGTTTAGTGTGAGTGTAGTTTTTCGTATCTAGTGATAATCATTTTCTTGTAGTTTTGAGAAGCAGTAAGTTTTAACATAAAAATTGTACTTCCTTGTAGGTATAAAAATGCCGCGCACTTGTTGTCTTCTTGGATGCAAATCCAATTATAATAGTATATTGAAAGCAGGAGAAACATTAGTTACTACTTCATGTTTCCCTAATGATCAAATTTTAAAGGAAAATGGTTAAAAGCAATTTCCTGAAAAAATTTGTATTTTACATTTTGAATAAAGTGTTGTTATTAAAATTGATAAACTTCTTCATGTAATAGCAATTTCCCAGAAATTCCCATAAGGCCAAATCTAAAATTAAATTCTGTACCTTGAATTTTTTCAAATTTACTTTAAAGTTATTTCACTAAACATAAAGTTTCTATAGGAAAAAATCTGGAAGAGAGAAAGAAAGTTTAACAGAAAAGATACGAACATTTAATAGGTACATTTGGTAAGGAAGAGTTAATAAGTAATTTTGATGGCTTGGCTAATAATTATGAATCAAAAATTTATTTTTATACTTTAAATTTAATGATTGTCTTGAAGTAATGAAATGAAATTTCAATAAGTGCTGGTATAAGAGTAATAGTTTATGTAAAGGGATCCCAACTATTATAATTTTTGAGTTTACCATCTAAAAGATATTTACAATATTTGCTATTTTATTTTTATGTAACTCTATTTAATACTGGCAATAACGATTTATCTTCTACTGGTCATTACTTACATCAAATTTCTAACTCATTTTCAGCAAAAGATAAAATTGTAGTAGGTATTGAAATGATGAAATTTATGTTTCTCAGAAATTGCCTTATGGAAATAAAAAAATAATGGGTGCAGCTTCTAATGAAAATAATTCAGCTAAAACAGTTCTGATGAGCATTTATGGTTTGTTCTGCGTTTGGCAATTCTTGTGAAGTTGCTAATAAGTGTTCAAAACATTTAATTATATACAATGTACTAACTTCTTTTTATTATTTCCTGTGTTTACGTATAGTTTGCAAAATTCAAAATTGAATTAAGTATTCTAATGTTATGGTATGTCAGTCGTGAACTCTCCAAGTAGACTTGCATGGCCGACAATTTGCGACGTTGCCACATACTCGTTCATGAATTGTAAGAAAAAGGTGGCTGTGTCACAATATGAAGATTCTATACAGTAGATCCATTTCCCAGTCACGCCCATACATCTGTTTTCTTTCGACGCTTTACCACTTCGTCGACGAGTTACCTGCTAAGTAGAGGCTGGGTTGTACAGGGTGTCATCGTAAAACCACAGTAGAAATATATTTTGTATAGAAACACTTCGGCATATGACAGTTCAGCTCATATGAAGTCAATTTATAAGTGAAGTAGTGAACCTACTGTATAGAATCTTTATACTCAATGTAATCTTACGAGAAGTAGCGTGGTGGTTCAGTGTGCTATCGATGGTCAGTTGGTAGTCCGGTGTCTCGGGTTCTATTCGCAGTCGAATGTGTGTCGTTTTTTAAATTTGTTTATTTATTTTGACTAATTGTTTTTATGGATATGTTTCGGATCAAATTGTTTTTATTTGATACTTCCAGCATAGTCTAACGGTTTATGTTATGGTTTTATGACTGTAATAAATACAGATAATACGTATGCACAAGCAAGACAGCCAATAAATTCCATAAAAACTGTTAAAAACATTTTTTTTATATATACAAACATTACTTGATATTTCCCGAATGGTTTGCTTGTTTACAAAAATATAAATTAATTTCGATAGCGAACTGTTGTGAAGTATATATGTAATCGAATATAGTAAAAGTACAATTTCTTATAAGAAAATACGTAAAATGGCTTAAAATAAAGTGATTAATATCTGGTCGCAGAGGTGTCCAGGGCGACAGAAATTTGATCAATGTTCATCTTACTAGTAAAAAATCATACGTACCTAAGTATATCGATCAATATATACCGAAACTTATTAAAACCGATATAAGTCTCTTAGATATTTCCCCAAATTAAGCAGTTTTATAAAATGCAGAAAGCATCAAAGGAGAAGTTTCAGTACGTTGTGTTGGAGTATAAGATAACCTTTCTCACATCCATCATTGTGTGTTGTTAGTCTCCATAAGTACTTTTTATGCAACAGATTTCGAACAATATTGAAGGAAATTTCTATGAAAACAAAGTACTTGCGAAGCCTGTGATCATAAACATACATAATTTATTTTTCAAGAATTTATACCGGGGTTTTTGGTAATTTCCTTCTCGTCGGTGATGATGGTGTTTTTTCGTTTTCTCCATCTGCAAAAATATTGAGATAAAGAAAGGAAAACCCTCGATAGTTACACTGAAAATAAATTGATTATGTATTATAATTTGAACACATAGCTATATTATATATCAGTAGCATAAAATATAAAACAAAAACAGTTTGAAACAGATAAACCCAACGAACTAAAATTTTACTAATCCTTTTCGTTCTTTGCAGAGAAAACATTATCAATTAAAGAGAACATATAGTAGACGAAATGTATAATCTCCGAATTTTTTTGGTTACACAAAAGAGCTACAGAAAATGCATTAAATACAATTTTTATAAATCTAGAATCTACTAATTTTTAATAACAGCTAACTTCTGATTATGCTGGAAATAGTTGGGCTTAATGACCGGCTTTGATATTTTTAACAAGTTGTGTACCTTTAGTAAAATGTTTTTCTGCATTGAGAATTTCGTCGTACATTTGACGCAAAAACAATGTAAAGTGCTGTAAAAAATATAATGGACAAAATGTATTTCATTTGTATGCCGAGAATTCCCATTTCATAGAAAACATTGTTGAAGATAATCATTTGCAACACTTTTTATTTAATTCAAGTAAATACCTCGACTCTATTTTAACGATCTATCTCCGTACATCTCGTTCGCTGTAGAATTGTAAACTTTAAAAATAAGAGGGCACCATGATTTAAAATGTAATAAGAACAAATTAAAACGAATTACTGCGTGATTTAGCTTCCTAAAAACAAGAACTGTCCATACTAGATGCATGTATGCTACGGTGAAGAAACTCATAAAGTATTTGTATTTCATTTACTTAACAATTTTTTTAAATGTTAAAGGATAAAAAAGGGGTTAATAGTTGGACATATTGGGCTAATCAATATAATTAAAGTAAAATGTAAAAAAAGTGCTCACCGACATGAAGACCAACAATTAGACCGGCGTCTGATACTTTTCTGGTCCCCATGCCGGTTCCCATGTTGCTGGGCGGTTGTGGTGGTATGGGATCGTCGAGAATGTCACACATTCGTAAATCGGTGGCATGTTCAGTCAGTAGCTCCACAACATCGCCCGTTCGATCCATTATGGCACACACTTCTTCAAAAGAGCGGTCTATTAAAGACACTCCGCCCCATTCGAGAACTTTATCTCCTTGTTGAAGACCACCTTTTTCAGCTGGCCCTCCAGGTACTGTCCATACTATATAGGCAAACAAACGTCCATCAGCTCCACTTTTGCCTCCTACCACTCTCATGCCAAATCCTCGCGCTGAAAATAAATTTGCCTTTTCAAGAACGACCTTTAAATTTGGTTTTTTAAGATATCGCTAGTAACAAAGAAGACCAGAGTCTCCAGCTCCCAGAGTTCTGGAGTCTTTCTAGAACAAGTCCAGCCGCTATAAATATGTAGTTGCCGCAAGTTTGGGACAGGTTGTAGAGGACTGACTTATAAATTTAGCTTATTAGAGGAGAAATTCAATTCTCTATACTTTCAGAGTTCTTGAAAGTTGTAATAAAGTCTAAATAAACTTGTGGTAGAATAATAATTAAAACGTTTTGCGTGTATAATGGTAAGTATTGTCAGGTATAGGCAACCCATCTTACGTCAAGAGCCCTACAGTGGCCTGTATCTCGGTAGTAACAAAGAAGACTAGAGTCTCCAGTTCCCAGAGTTCTGGAATCTTTCTAGAACAAGTCCAGTCACTATAAGTATTTAGTTGTTGGAAGGTTGGGACAGGTTGAAGAGGACTTGAATTATAGGTCCTATAAAGGCCTGAGGTAGAGAAGTTTTAGTTGGTAGAGGCTCCTCGGAGTGAATCCAACACTACCCAGTCGTACGGTCGGCTGGGTATCTTTTGCTTTTCCTCTCTTCCACGAAAATAAGAAAAAGGGGGTTGGTACAGTACAGTTCGAGTTCTAATTATAAGGTGATAGAAGGCGAATTAAGAAGAGAGAAGAAGCGATAACATATGTGGTACAGTAGTGAACGAGTAATTAATTAATAATAGATATTTTGACACTTTCATTGCCAAACTAAAAATTTAGGATTTTGTGAGATGGCCACTTCCTAATGGCCAACATATACTGTTTGAGGTGGTCGCTTTTTCTACCGCACATAGAAAACTGTATGAGACTCAACGCGAAGTCGTGTGATCGGCCATGTAGTAAAGTTTCCGTAAATTCGAAATGCTCGTGATCAATATGGTGCATTCCTACAAAGGAGATGTTTACAAAATATATGACGTCCTGGCCAAAATTTTGTACAGTGTATAGTTCCACGTGGGAAAAGTCGTGGGGCAAATGGTATAAATTAATACACCTATAATATGTTAGTATGTTCGCTCACGAAAATTGCTATAAATGACTAAACTTATTTTGATGAAATTTTTACCACTTCAAAGGATATCAAATTAAATTAAACGCTAGTATACCTACATTATACATTAAATAATTTTATTTAGGAGCTTACTTAAATTACAAGTTCTAGCCCTTTCGCGAAAACCAGGTTCACATCTTTGTGTATATTTGGGAGAGCTAGCCCGGATAATTTTTCCTGTGCCATTGAGACACGCAACCAATATTTTACTCTGCGAAGAGTAGAAAATGATATCTCTGCGGTAGCTACGTTGAGTGGGAGAGATGCTAATATTTGTAAGAAAATTTTTAGGTTAGGGTAGAAATCTTGGTCACATGATTCCATATATGTAATACTCCCATACTTCTAGTGCCCGTACCGAGCGGCATGGCCTAGAGGTTTAAACAGCTGCATAGCATTCGAGAGGACGCCGGTTCGATTCCGGGTCTGTCTGCCTCCGTCCAGGTTTTTCTGTAGTTTTCTTGGATCACTTAAGCAAATGCTGGGGCAGTAATATTATACAGATAATCTTTCATTCTGTTCTGTCTTCATTTCGTTCGTCTCAACTTTCTTACCCGAACCACCACCCACCCATTCCCACGATTCCTGAAAGCAGGCTGAAGAGGGCCTTCCGCCCTACCTTCCAGCGTAGTCCAAAGGGACTGCCCGCCCACCAGCGTTACTGGCTGGTGGGAATGAAACACCCAAAAGTTTTTTTTTCTACTGCCGTAAGTGGAAGTGTCACGGAGTAAGTGAGACAACAAACGACGACTTCTGTCTCTTTTTAGATTACTCGACCCGTTGTGCGCAATCGTCACGATTCTGGTGAGGTAAATGATGCGCGCTTATACGCATGTTCAATTGTCGAGCATGCGCGTAATACTCGAAGTAATCACGAGAGAGACAGACGCATATATGTCTGCACCGTTGGATCGTTATCTTTTTCTAGACCCCAACTAGCAATATAGGAGTATTACATATGTGCATGATTCAATGAGATAAGCTACCGTCTCTGGTATTGCAGAATTGTTTTCTAATGCAAGTATTCATGTACCTACCAAAAAGAAATAGATAATATGATGCTAAAAATGTGGCAAATATGACAGTAGCAGTCATTCATTCGGGTGATAACTTGTAGTAGCAGGTTGTTCTTGCTACATGAAGCATGCGGCAGCTACTCGTTTCCCGGCGCAAACTTTTAACTTCTGTAGCTGGCCAATGTATGAAATGGGATGACATTGACACCTTTCAAAAACGGTAGACCAGAAGATTTCGGAGATGGAATATTTTATTTAACTAAGGGTTTCTATGGGAATCATTCATTTAACTTAAAATCACCATATCAACATAAACACAGACTCGCTCTAGTTGGTAAGGACAGCGCTACTAGCATGGTATAGCAAAAGGGGATACATTCCAATCCGTAAATCTCTTTTGCAATAACTGATCTTTTTAATAATTTTGCTTCTCAAATAGTTGAGGCTCAGGCGACGCATAAGAATAGTTATTTCAAATGTATGCCACGTTTTGGTTTTCGAGTTTTCTGGACGCTGTTTTCGGAAGTTTTTTTGCCGACGTTTCGCCTGCAGCTGTTATAACATTTTCAAGTGTCGGGCGGTTTTTATGTCTGTCTACGCAAAATTATGTTGTATCGTGCAAATATAACTGATTAATGTCCACATTGTAATTAATTCAATATCTGTTGGTTTAGAGTCCTTTTCAATCGAAAATAAAGTATAATTTATCCATAAACTTAAAAATATCATCTTAAACCCAGGTAAAAGTTTAATTTTTTTGTTTGCTAGCGTACCTATCCTCCAAACTTGGGAATATTTAAAAACACTTCTAAGTAATAACAACAATGCTTAAGAAAAAAGAAGTCTCATTTGATTGCAACTATTGCCTTCAACACAAAATGGTTGCTTTTAACTTCCTCATTAACAGATCAATAAAATTCCCCTTGAATAATACTAGGTTCAATAGCGAGCTATTGAACGTTAAAGGTATTTCGTATTTTAACGGCTTCCTTTCCGAAATTGTCAATAATATACTAATAAAAATACAACTTAGGACCTACATAAAAAATTCTACGTCTTTATCTAAACCATCAGATCATAAACAAAGTTTTTCAAGTTACCTTTCCATCACATTTTAACAGGATTTAATAAGATTTTTAAAGAATTTGGATTTACACAAGTATTTACGTAAAACCAATAATAGTCTCAAAAACTTCTTAGGAAACACGAAAGAAGAAGAAGAACGTAGATTAAAGACAGGAATTTATGAAATTAAATGCAAAGGTTGTGATTTAAAATACGTTGGATAGACTAAAAGGGCCATTACAAGTAGGTATAAAGAAAGTATATACAGTCCATTTCAGATTTAATAGGTTATCCGTAGCCCAACATATTTGTAACACAACCCCCCCCCCCTGTAGGCTCTTAGAGCTTAAAATTAATAAAAGAGCTCTCTTGCAAGTCGGGACATGATGCGTATCAAAGCTTATATATTTGGGTTTAGAAGAAACAGAGGAACGTGGGAGCCCATTATAGCTTTACGGGTAACAAATAGAGAAAACGATAGATAAAAGAAAGAGTGCGTACATAGGATTTGTAGATTTAGAAAAAACTTTTGACAGTGTTAAATGGGACAAGATGTTAAATATACTTAAAATAGATGAGTGATACTTAGTTTGTATATAAAGAGCAACAGGCAGTTTTAGAGCTAGAGCAACAACGTGGAGAAGTAAATATTAGGAAGAAAGTCAGACAGGGATGTACACTGTCACCGCTACTTTTTAATCTATGCATCGAAGACGCGATCTACATCATTAAAGACAGTACAACTGTAGGGATAGATTTAAAAGGAGCAAAATAATAAAATAATTCGAAGTGGTCTGTATTCTGTCGAAACTGCAAGTAGATATCCATATATATAAATGGACCTTGTTGGAGCATACCTAATCCTAAAATGTAGCATCGTACTACAGATGGCATTTACTGCGCCATTTGTGGTATTTTCTAAAACGCGCTGTTAAGGCGGCAGGTAAAAGTTGGTCTGTGTTCAGTTGGAGCTGCCTGCGACGCGCAGATGAGTTCCAAAAAGATCGAAATCCCGATCCACATCTGACAGTTTCGACAAAATACAGACCACAGTTAACCATTTTAAAAATGCTAACATTGTAATAAAACGCGTGCCTTATCAGTAGTAAACGGCTGGCAAACCCACGCCATCCGTTCCTTTTTAATTAATCAGCAGTGATGCAAGTTTTCTTTAAACAATCAATAACTTCGATCGTGGAGTTACAAAAAGTCTTTCAAACGACTAGGTCGGTCAATTATCGTGTTAATAGTTAACGCACATGGTGTATCGCTATTTTCCGTAAGGCGTAACTCCTATTCCTTTAAGCAACAAAACCCTCCAAATTTAAGAACAAATTAAACACATTAATAATTAATCAATAATAAAGAAAGTAAGTGTTCAAAAGTGTTTTTTTTAAAAAGCTTAAGGAATAGCACCGGCCTTTAACTCCACTTCGAATTATTTTATTCGATTATGGTAACGTGCCTACCACGTTGAGGTGAGCTACGCCGGGATTCGTTTCAGCAAGTAGATATCCATATACGTATATAAATGGACCTTGTTGGAGCATATGTAATCCTAAAATGTAGCATCGTACTACAGATGGCGTTTACTGCGCCATTTGTAGTATTTACCAAAAGATTAGTATGCTTAAATTTACAGACGATGGGAGGAGGAATCAGAGGTAGTTTTAAATAAAATGGAAGCAGTATTGACAAAACCTTTCTCCCACTTCCACCCACCCTTTATCTTACTTATAAAATAACTAATTTTTACTAAAGTAAAGGTAGTAACTAGAAGTAGTCTTGCGCTGAAGATACTCATAATGTAAATGAGCGAAACGTGTGTCCGCAGTTTTTAAATATTTGTGGTTATTGGGATAAGTCTTTTATAATTACTTTATTATAATTAATATTAGTATCTAAGCATTCTTCAGTATAACAGTAGCACTTTGATCGAACGCTTATTGTTACCGCCTGCCCACCCAAGAAAGAATCTCCACCCTCTCCCACTATGCCATTATTGTTCTTTGTCTTGTTGGGAGAGGAAGGGTGAGGCAGGATATAAGGGAGCGGAAGCCATTGTGATTGGTAATTTGATAGCCGCGTTTTACAAACGAGAACGTCTCGATGGGTGGATAAAGTTTTTCTTTCAACAGTAGGTAATAATGGTAAGTCAAGATTAATAAATTATAACATTTTCCACAAATTTGAAACATTAATTCATTTTTGGTTTCTCTATAGCAGGTCATTTGAGCATTCTAACTTTTCTTGTGTTTTCTATCAATTTAATTCCGAAATGGAGATTATAAAAGGTACCTACTAGTCTGAAATACGATCTACTAAAAGGTAGTTTTATAATTACTGTAACTGCTCATGAGTTTTGCCAATGAGAAACTATACATATAAATCCCTGTGACTGTATACTGCATACACATTACACAGTCAGACAACTTTTAGTCGCTGTTATACTCAACATCAGTAAAAGAGTAAATAAGTAGGTACAATACAATTTTGTTGGAGTTGTAATCGCAATTCATAAGTAACAGAGAAATATATAAAGACTATTTTTATGGTTGGTAAGTCAGAGAGCTGGGGCTGCAACGTAGAGAAGTAAATATTAGGAAGGGAGTTAGACAGGGATGCATATTGTCACCGCTACTTTTTAATGTATACATCGAAGACGCGATCAACATCATTAAACACAGTACAACTGCAGGGATAGATATAAAGGGGCAGAATATTAGTATGTTTAGATTTGCAGGTGATGTAGCAGTATTAGCATCTAGCAAGGAGGAGTTAGAGATAGCTTTAAATAAAATGGATGCGGAACTGACAAAATAGTACTGCATGAAAACAAAAATACTGGTATGCAAGGGAAGAAAATGTAGGGAAAAAGCGAATATAAAGATAAAAGATGAAAAATTAGAAGAAGTGGTCGATTTTAGGTATCTAGGAAGTCAGATAAGTCAGGACGGAAGGGGTAGTAGAGATATAAATCAGAGGATAGCGCAGGGTCGAGTCGCCTTTAATTAAAAAGAAGTTACTTCTATGCTAGCGAACGGTTAATTTAGAAAAAGGTTGTATGTTTGAAGCGCGGCACTGTACGGGTGCGAAACATGGACGGTGAGCGCTGCAGAAAAGAAAAGGTTACAAGCGTTCGAAATGTGGTGTTACAGGCAAATGATAAATATACCGTGGATAGAGAAGGTTTGAAATGAGAAGGTATTAGAAAGAATAGGAGAACAGAGGACTCTATGGAAGTCAATAAAAAATAGGCGAGATAGGTTAGTAGGACACCTTATCAGACATGAAGGTCCAGTCAGAGACATATTAGAGGCAGGAGTGGGAGTTAAGAGGGGTAGTGATAGACCTAGATTAGATTATTGTTCGCAAATAGTTAAGGATGTGGGTTGTTATAGTTTTAGGGATGTGCGAAGATTATCTCATGATAGGAAAGAGTGGAGGTGCGTGGCAACCAGTCTTAGGACTGACGATCTTCTGATGATGAAGTTAGAAAATTACAATAGAACGGATTAATAACCTTGCTCTGCCATATTTGTGCTACTCATATACTTAACACTTCTATATTGCTAGGAGTTTGCAAAATGATGGCGACCCAAATGATGCAGACATATATACGTCTGTCTCTCTCATATAGAAGTCAAATATTATGCGCATTTCCGAGAATTGTAATAAGCCATTTGTGGGGTGGCAAAGAGGACCCTGGGCTTCGTATGACGCAAATGTAGGGCAAACATGTTTTTTTCGATATTAGATAGAATTAGGTCCACCTTGCAGTAATGCTACATGTCCGAATTTCTATAAAAACGATATATTTTTTATATCCAATGTAGAAAAAGCTGAAATTCGAATGGTCGAACCCTAACAGTTCACTTTATGATAAGAATGAGGGCCGTAATTAAAGTATAAGCTCCCGTGGCACAAAAATGCAGGTAAAAGATGAAATCGTAACAATCGTAGAAAAACATACCAAAAAGCAGAAACAGGATTTTACCTTTATATTATAAACAAGACACTTTTTTATATTCTATTTACATTTAGCACTTCTTAATACTAAAACCCATAAATATCATCAACTAAATGATGCACAGTTATCGAAACTTTAAAACAATGCAAAAGTATGGAATGAATACTAGCGACAATAAAATACTAACGATCGGGAATGTGATGGTATAATCTATTTGAACAACCGCAATATTTA